TGCCGCCGACCCTTGCAAGGCTTCTGCAACACCCTGTTGAACCAATAGAGCTCTCATCTTTACTCTCCATAGGCTGAAGTCGTTCTTCCCGTTGAATTTCTCAATGTCAAATTTGGCGGAACTCATTATCGTGACTAGGATTTCTTCCAATGAATTCTACCTACTGGCCTTCCAAGAACTAGGTTGAAATCACCAAAATGTTGTACTATTGTATAGCAATCAAAAGTTTTCAGCCTAAACATGCCTTTTAACGCCTTGTTGTCCAAGAAATTCTCACCAAATTTCTCACCTTCTCCCCATGAACTCCACTGCCTTTGCCAACCGAACGGAGAGCTCTGATCCCTTCTGGCAGAGATCACACCTGTTCACCGGAGAAAACTTCTTGTTTGGTGCTCGCGCCTCCTTCCCACAGGCACTCCTCTGCGTCTAGCGGAACAAATCAGGAATTCCTTCTCCCCGTGAACTCCACTGCCATTGTCAACCGAACGAAGAGCTCCGATCCCTTCTGGCAGAGATCACACATGTTCACCGGGATAACTGCCTCTACAGAGTCGTCGCGCCTCGCCAAACTGCTCAAGTTCTTCTGCTTCGCGAACTTCTGAACAGAGAACTCCCGAACCCTTCTCTGCGCGATCTCCGCCTATTCCCTCTGGCCGAGCTGCTCGGAAGACCGAACTCCTGCTCCGAAATCCTCTGCTGGCAGCCCTGTCGCAAATTTTCAGCCCTCGCTCGATGACTGTTCCTCCTTCTCGCCTCCGTCTCGATCAAAGCTTCCACTGCTCACCGAATCTGTCGCGATTCAGCTGCCTGTGATGCGATCCGGCTTCTCTGTTTGTGAATGTCAAACTCATCTTCTTCGTCGCAGGCCGCAAAAACCTTTACCCGGACCCTTTACCCGGACACCTCTATCTAAGAAGTATGGATCTTCCCACAGACGGCGTCAATTGTTGTGAGATATGTACTTCCTGACATAAAAATGAAACGCAAAGAACACAAGCAAACACAGATCGTTTACGTGGTTCGATCCAACTGGATTTACGTCCACGGGAGGGAATCAATCAAATAGTTCACTAAGGCAAAAGAAATGGAGAATACATAGCTTATACATAGAGATGAGTCCTCATCTTCCTTCTATGGCCTCCCTCTCAAGCGACACCTTGATACAAGGCCTCAAGATGCTCTCCTCCTCTCTAGCTCTCTAGCTATTCTCTTCTCCTTTGTGATTGTTTAAGATCTCTTCCCTTTAACTCCTAAGTCTCACACCCTCTCTATTTATAGAAGCAAGGTGAGCGGTAGGTGAACCGTAGGTGAGATGTGGTAAGTGAGCGGTACCACATTACAAAAGTGTCCTTTTACCTTAGTTCATTAATTGAGGGTCAAAATAATAGTTTCTTACTTAAAAAAAAAACATCTAATTTTTTAAAATAAAATGAATTTATATATTTGCGTGATACAAACAACTCATTAAGTATTTAATAAATCATTGAGAATGAAAATAAATACTTTAATTTTGTTATTTAAAATTTAGGCAGAGTTATTTTTAACTAAAATATTATAGTTTGATAGCTACAAAAAATGAAGTATCACAACAAAAATCTCTTATTGTATACTTTATTTTATGTCTTATGATGCAGATGAACATGCAAAGGTTTGTATCAAAGATAGTACAAATGATGAAGGATGAGAATTTATATGCTTCTCAAGGAGGACCAATTATACTCTCACAGGTGATTGTTTTTTTCTCGCAAAATTTATTTTGTTATAGCGTTGGCCTAATGTTTACATCAAAGACTTAATAGCTCATTTGCTATTTTACATAGATTGAGAATGAATACCAAACGATAGAGCAAGCTTTTCATGAGAAAGGCCCAGCTTATGTGAAGTGGGCTGCAAATATGGCTGTCAGCCTTCAGACTGGTGTCCCATGGATGATGTGCAAACAAATGGATGCCCCAGATCCAGTGGTTAGTGTTATTAGATGTAAAATACATCTTCTTAAAGGCATATGGAAGTTATCACCTTGGATATAAGTATAAATATCTAAGATCATGTGCAGTATATATTCTTAGCCCAAAGATTCAAGTATGGATAGTGTTTTAAGTTTATGGTTAACATTATTGCCTCTACAGATCAATACTTGCAATGGTATGAGATGTGGTCAAACATTTGCAGGTCCAAATTCACCAAAAAAGCCATCATTGTGGACAGAAAACTGGACATCTTTGTGAGTATTTGCAGAAATACCCTCCTTTTGCAACTATTAAGAAACAATCAAAGTGTATTAAATTTGATAATAAGATTGCTAAGCATTTATTAGTTGAAATTTAAGAGTCTCTTCAGCTAATATTTTGTTATCCAGTGTATGAATACCATTGCCACACATCTTCTCATATGGGGGTTTTAAATCCTTAATTTACAGTTATTTTAACCGCACAATTACTTGTGTTGTTCCTTAATTACTGTCATGCAAACAAGTTTGGATGGCCAGGACTAAACTGCATATTTCATATAGAGAATCATTTTGAGCCTATTTTTACTCTATTTTATTTTGGGTCTGATTTGTACTTCTTTTGTCTTGAAGTTACCAAGTATATGGGGAGGAGCCATACATGAGGTCTGCAGAAGATATTGCCTTTGCTGTAGCGCAATTTGTAGCTAAAAAGAATGGGAGCTTCGTGAATTACTATATGGTTTGCTTATCACATTCTTTAATGCCTCTTAAACACCTTAGTGAATTACAATATTTGTAACATAAATAATTTTATTGCATAAATAGTCTCAAAACTTATTAAACCACGAAATTCGCATATAGTTTGAGTTGTGATGTGTAAAAATCAATTGCAAATGCAGTATCATGGTGGCACCAATTTCGGAAAGTCTTCATCTTCATACATTATCACAGCATATTATGATCAAGCTCCTCTAGATGAATATGGTTAGCTAAAAACATTACAAAATCATATTAAATTAATTTCATACAGCAATTCGAGATTCTGCCATAATGATACTTATTTTTTTTTGGCAGGTTTGATATGGCAGCCAAAATGGGCCCATCTCAAGGAATTACATGCTGCAATTAAGCAGAACTCTGAACCATTACTTGAGGGGACATATACAAATGTTTTAATTGGCCGAGCACAAGAGGTGAGATCTCAATTTCCTTTTATCAGTAATAACAGCAGCCATAATTTCTAGCCGCGTTTCTTGTGCTTCTTTAGTGGGAATAACGAAAGGATTTCATCACAGGCACACATTTTTCAAACAGATACAGGAAAGTGTGTAGCATTCCTTATAAATCAGGATTCAGTTCATGATTCCACAGTTCGATTTCGGAATGCCACATATGAATTGCCTCAGAAATCAATAAGCATCTTGTCTGACTGTAAGAATGTTGTCTTCAATACGGCTAAGGTGAATCCAAATCCACCATTTTATCTAAAAAAATAGTACAAAATCACCTTGTTTCATAGATTTATCACTATCCTATGCACTAAATTTTTAAATTTGGTAAATCATATTCTACTGAAAGAGTTTAGTATTTGAGTAATCTTCTTCTTATTTGCTCTCTCAGGTAAGTGCTCAATATGGCACAAGATCAGCTAAAGCTGTAGAACATTTTAATCAAGCAAGCAGATGGAAAGTAGCAGAAGAGAAAATTCCAACCAGTGATTCTTCTACATGGGTAAGAAATGGGCTTATAGAACAAATGGCAGCAACTAAAGATTCTACAGACTATCTTTGGTATATAACCAGGTAGGAAGAAAACTTAACATTCTGTTAAACCACTGGAGAAATGATTTTTAGGCCCAAATCATCATTTAGAGCGCTTAAATTTGATTATTCAATACTGATCTTAAAGGTTATGTTGTGTGCAGGTACAACAACACATCAGACATTCAAAATAACATAATTCGTGTCGAATCACTAGCTCATGTTATACATGCTTTTGTAAATAATGAATATATTGGTAAGTGAAAATGTCATTCAATTCATAAAACAATGAAATATTGAAAAATAATATGATGGCATAGCCCAAACAAACAAAATATTTGAGTTCACCAGATCAGATTTACTTCAAAACAAAGATATTAATGCAACATATTTTAATCCTAACTTTTTACAGAACTGAAATTTTGACTCTCACAATGCATCTAAAGATTTTACAAAAATTTCCAAAATGTTGAAAAAAGTTGTTATTTCTTGTCCTGTCAGGAACTGTACACGGTAGTCATGGCTCAAAGGCTATCGTACTTAGCAAAGCCATTTCACTGAAAAATGGACAGAATGACATCTCATTGTTGAGCGTCATGGTGGGATTACCAGTAAGTTAATTTCCGTTCATTATTATTGTTTAAATTTTCTATATATATATATATATAGCACATCTAAAATTGATATTTATATATATGGCACTTTGGTGTCATAATCCCATGAAAATTTATGTATGAATAGATGTATTTCACTTTAAAATGTATGTAAATATTAAATTTAAAGTATTTGATATATTAATACATAGCAATGGTGTGATATGCATGTAAATCCCTCAATTTTTGAGCTATTCTTACTTGTTTTAACAAGCCTATCTCTGGTGTTTTATATGATGCATTTCTTTCTTCTATGCAGGACTCTGGAGCATATCTAGAGCGCAGAGTTGCTGGATTACGAAGGGTGAGCATTTCAAATTCAAAGAATCATTCCGAAGATCTCAGTAACAATCGGTGGACATATCAGGTTTCACACTCGAGCTTCCTTTGTCTAACATTTCAGCATAGAAATAAATGGTGCTTTTAACAAAATAATTAATATATGTGTTCAGTGTAATGTTAAATGTTTTCCTGTTGCAATTTGGTTGTTCAGAATTGTTTTGTTGTCAGAACAAAATGCGCTGCATTTTGGCTGGTTGAAACAGAACTTTCTAACTATATTTCTCCTGAGGTCACCTGAAATATTGCTGTTTACAAAATATAGCACTGATGTGCTATTTTTTAACTGCTGTGCTATGATCAAATGATTGATTATTTCACAAAAATGGGATTTATTGGGTGTGGGGTTTTATTGTCAACTGAAACATTGCTGTTTACAAAATATAGCACTCTGTGTGCTATTTTTTAACCGCCGAACCGATGTATTTACGTGTGTTATGATCAAATCATTGATTATCTCACAAAAATGGGATTTATTGGGTGTGGGGTTTTATACTGAATTTTGATAGCTGAGTGAGAAGTTTAAAAATGGATGAAAGAGGCGCTAAATTTGTAAATAACAATGTTTCGGGTGCTATGTATGTATGAATTTTGATAGGTGAGTGAGAAGTTTAGAAATGGATGAAAGAGGCGCTAAATTTGTAAATAGCAATGTTTCGGATGCTATGTATGTGAATAAATTAAAAATATTTTGAGTGTTTTCAAAAATATATTACTTTTATTTTAGAATAAAAACATCTAAAAACACATTAGAATAAACTAAAAATATTTTGAGTATTTTCAAAAATATATTAGTTTTATTTTAGAATAAAAACATCTAAAAACACATTAAACAAACCATTAAAAAAAAAAAGTTATCCCAAGCAATCCCTTAACATCTAATTTTTTGAAAAAATTCACAAGTTTGAGGGCTAATTTGATTTCTCTGATGAAAAATATGTAGAAAAGGAAGATTTTGCTTCTTTTTTAGAAGCTGCAAGCAATTGCAATATTAGTCTAAATAATGTTGACTTCGTTTTGCCTTCTCAGATGGGCTAGTCAAATGAAAAACATCCGAATTATTGTTATTTACAAATCTAAAATATTTTCAAAAAGAATCATAGCTTAATCAAATATATCAGATATATTTTATTTTAAATCAAAACATGAGCAAAAATAAAAAATAAAAAATCATAAAAATAAAAAATGATCCCAAACAGCCCCAAAGCAACAAGCTGGACTGTTTTTTATGACAAAAGAAAAATGCAGGTTGGTTTATCTGGAGAGAAGTCAAATATATTCACAGAACAAGGAACAAAACTAGCAGATTGGAAGACAGCCGACAGTTCTCATAATCAACCTTTAGTTTGGTACATGGTAATTAACATTTCTAACATGCAACTAACTTCCCATCAATCTCTCTTCTGCAACTAAAAGAAATTAGCTGCAAACCATTAACAGACAAGATTCAACGCTCCATTGGGCAACGAACCATTGGCACTAAACTTAATCAGTATGGGCAAAGGCGAAGTATGGATCAATGGCCAAAGCATTGGCCGCTACTGGGTCTCTTTTAAAACTGCTAAAGGAGTTCCATCTCAATCTCTGTAAGCAAAGTTATCTTTTGCTTTCACAGTTGTAAAAATACATCTTTTTCATCATTCTGATTCTTAGTTACCGATAAAAATTACATTTTGAATCACTGAACAGGTATCACGTTCCCCGTTCCTTCCTAAAACCTTCAGGAAACCTCCTAGTTCTGTTTGAGGAAATGGGAGGGAATCCTTCAGCGATAACGTTGGAGACTATTTCAGTTACTGGTATTTGCTCAAGGGTGTTTGAATCCGATCCAAATCCTATAGTTTCGGCAAACAAATACCCATCTGTTAAGCTTCGCTGTTATAATGGTAGGGCCATATCATCGATAGAGTTTGCGAGCTATGGAAGCCCTGCAGGTAATTGCGATTCCTATTCGGTGGGAAGCTGCCATTCTACAGCATCCAGAACTGTTGTAGAAAAGGTGAGTTCTTCCAAGTTCTAACTTTTCTCAATTTTCTAATTTAAAGTTTGAATTTTGAGTTTATTTTTCATCAAGCTTTTCAAAATGTTTGTGTTTTTGGGAATTAATCTTACGGTTTTATCTTGAACAGGCTTGTTTGGGTAGAAGTGCATGCTCTGTTCCTGTATCTTCAACAATATTTGGTGATGATCCTTGCCCGAACACCTCCAAGTCCCTACTAATTGCTGCAAAATGCTAATTTAACAATACAGCAACTGAAGAAATGCAGAGGTTTTCATTTGCTGTATTTATTTAATTCTTCTTCTGTTTTCATTTTGTGATAGTTTAGATTTTTTTTTTTTAGTATTTAGATAGAATAGATAGGATGAAACAGTTTTAATTCAGAAATTCATTTGTTTGGATGGAGTGCTGCTGCTGTAATTGAATCTCTTATAGTTTATTTTATGCTAACACTGAATATATGTACAGATCCTAGAATGCAAGCCTTGGATTGAAATGAAAGGAAATTTTCTTGTATGTAATTTTGAAGATAAATTCAAAGAAGCATGGAAGGGCAGCAATAACTGTAAAGAGATGTAACTATGACTTTGTTTGAGTGAAAAAGAATGGCTGCACCTCAAAGCGGGCAGGAAAAAATTTAGAGTGAGTCCCACTCTAACAATAAAAAAAATAAAAAGAAGAATTTCAGTGATCTTGATCGGACACCGCATGCAAATTTACATGCGGTGTCCGTACGCAATAATCGCTCCAAAGCATTGCCTATTGATTAAAACCAACTGTAAATTATTTCTATCTCTGTCAAAGAGCCTAAGCACATCTATGTAAATGAAATTTGGAGACTAACGAAATAATTTATTTTAAAATTTTTAAAATGTATAAAATTTTTATCATGGAAACAGCCTAAGAGGTAAACTGAACCATGAACTAACCTTCTTTTGATGTTGAGGATAAGTAGGGCTCTTAATGATCCAATTTTGAGTCAAGCTGGGGTTGGCTTGAATGGATTTAGTGCGGCTAGAAATCGGCTTGTGGCTAGTTATATCTGATTTTGAGCCAAGCAACTTTAAATTAAATAAAGCTCAATTCGGCTTGAAATCAAATTGAGTTATTGGATTTGTTTCGGCTCAATCCGGCTCAAAATTGAAACTGAGTGGCTCAAATTAAGCTTGAAATTTGCGCATGACTCATTATATTTGATTTTACTTAGTAGTAAATATATAATTTTTATAAATAAAAAAATACTATGAGCCAATCTCGAGTCAGTTTGAGGCTATCCACAAGTTTATTTCAATCCGATCTCGATCTAAGCCAAAATTCAAATCGATATTCGAGCGAATAGCGATCTTCGAGCCAAATTCACAGCCCTGAGGATAAATAATGTTGTTCCTTGAACACACTTCTTTTAATAAATGGAAATTTAACTTAGCTTCTCCAATGATGATGATATTGGAGAGCAAATCGTTTGGCTCAAAGTATCTAAAATCAGGCTAAGATTATGATGAATCTCAAAATCATTAGATTTAATTTGATATGAGTGCAGCATACATTTTGATTAATCTGTTATACATTGTACTCATAAGTAAATAGAAAACTTTGAGGCCAGTCCTTATTAAAAATTTAATTACAATATCTAGGCTAATTTACTTCTCAATTTAACATTCCTCAAGGCTCATGTTTGCATGTAAATTGGAAATTCATGAAATAAAACAAATAAGATGAAATAGAAATCATGTTTCTAATAATTTAACAGGATCTAATACATTTTGGCCATAAACATCCAATTGAAAATTCCTCAAGGCTCATGTTTGCATATAAATTGGAAATTCATGAAAAAAACAAATAAGATGAAATAGAAATCATGTTTCTAAAGTATATTGGCATCCTTGGGTTTGAAATAAAATAAGTATAAAACTAAGTTAAATCACTTAAATTCATCATTTAATCGACATAGATATAAATAAATACTGAGTTGAGGATCTACAATTCATTACTTATGTAATTTTTTTTTTTTTTTTTGCACAAAAAATGATCTTTTTTGTTGATCTAATTAGCTAAATGTTTAAATCAAATCTAATGGTTTGACTGAAGGTAGACTTTATTTTAATCTTAGTTTGAAATAATCTAAAAATAGATCATTAATTGATTTCGATTTAGATTTCATTTTTAATTACAAGAAAAAAAATTGATATATTTAAAATTAAGGGATTTGTAGACTTCAAATCAAATATTTTTTAGTATTTACTGGAGAAATAAAAATTAGAATTTACTATATTTTATTTATTTACTATATGGCTAAAAGCTCTAGGACCAAGTTCAAGGTGCGAAGCTAGATTTTCACTGAGTTGACTGAACAGTTTGGCTAGATTATTTTAACCAAGTAACTCAATCAGAGAGCATGATCAAATAGCTCGCCAATGGTGATAAACACATAGATGCTCGATCGAGGTAATTCAACAGCTCTCCAAAAATATTAATGCACAAAGAGATTTAACTCTCTTAGAAAACCAACTCTCCCAAGAAGATCACCTCTCCTAAGAGGTCGACTCTCTTAAGAGGCTAATTCTCTCATGAAGATAAACTCTCTAAACTCTCCCAATAGACCAATTCTCCCCTCTCATGAGACTAATTTCCCCAAGAAGATTAACTCTCCCAGATAATCAATTATCCTAGGAGATCAACTCATTTCATGGTTGAATTAGCTGATATATATGATGCCAAAAGTAAATTATGAGAAAGTCGTTTAAAAGGAATGGTTGGAGTCATATATTATATTTATGCGATATGTTGGAGGATCTTAAGTGATATCCTCATCTACTCCCTGGTTGTACGAGATGTCCGAATATATTTATTACTCGAAATCATGGCCTCTAACATGGTGTCATTGTTTATAAAATGTTTTTTTATCAAAATGTGGCCCATAATGATATAACTACATCTATCTTTGCTGGTACATATACTCTAATGTCAAAATCACTATCTGAGTCATTTCTTGTGGCACTATCCATTATCTTGTATCATTCACTTTCTTGACTCATGTCAGTATCATCTCTATATGTACACTTGGACGCTTACTCGGTTCAACAGGTGAGTGTCTCGCAAGACTAAGAAGTTTATACATTTTATTTTACTAGTAATTAAAACATGCAAAATAATGCACATATTTTATGAGTAAAGTGATATACACGATACCCATATGCTTGATAATTCATCAAATATGACATTGGTAAGTTAATGTAGCCACGAAACGCATTTTGAGATGAAGGACCAATTGTTGTTGCAGGGAGCAATTGGATGCCGCTCTATGTAACACCATTGTAACCCTCAACGTTAGTGTAAAGCACTAAATTTTATTGCACAATCGTATGTAATACAACCTCTATCAAATTGATGTCCTCTAATGGGATTGCAACGAATCTTCGACATGTAGGAAACCCACATATTATGGATACATTATGTGTTTAATGATCACCCTTCATAACGCGAAACACTCTGTGATGTAAGTCATTAGATACAAGTAATTCTCCGTCGTAATATAAAGGTTGAAAGTTGATTGCACAAATTTTGTGCAATCAAAATTTCTATTCAACCTATGTTAGAAAAGTTAGGTCGAATCACAACAAAATATTTGTGTTTAGGTGTTTTTTCAATTCAACTAGGTTTTGTCACGCTAGAACATTAGTTTTTAGATATACATCTTATTTTATTTTACCGAGATACATAACTATGATTGCATTTGAGCCAATTTAATGAGTTTATTCTAGTACTTTATGTGATACTATACTCTTAATATTGTTTTAAGTTTGATTATTTATCTATGAGAAATATATAACATTTTGTGACAATTAAACATTTCAAGCTAATATAGAGAAGAAACTAAAACAAATCTAATAGTCACAAAGTTGTGAGTAAATATTGTCATAATTTTTATTATTATTAAAATTATTGGTACTATGAATATTAATTTTATTACTTTTAGGTCAATTGGTCAACAATATTTAACTTCACTGAATAAAATATTTATTCAACTATATTAGGAGTTAGAAAAGTTTTTATTATTATGATTATTATATTGCTATCATAATTATTATTATCATTACCAATGTTAATATTTTATTATGTTTACTATTTTATTATTATTATTATTATTATTATTATTATTATTATTATTATTATTATTATTATTATTATTATTGCTCTTAATACTAATAATACTAAATAGTATTAACATTAATCTCAGTTTAAAAATGTTAATTTCTATTTATACTTAGTACTCACTTAACAGAGATTATAGCCCTCTATTGGACTACCTTTCACTAGAACCAAGCGAACTAATGCTTAATTTAAAGGGACTGAATAATTTTTCCTAACCAAATTCAAGTTATAAAACAATCGGGAGCAATTAAGCTTTTACAATCATTGTGAACCTTAACTCAACTGTTTGTGGTTGACTTTATGAATATTCACACTGCATTCATTCTTTTTATGAGTTACTCTTTTAAGTGTTAAATTTATTTTGGCATAAATCTTTTTAAACATTTATCCATACTACCACCTAGGAGCGGAAACAGCCTCCTTTTTTAGGTGGGGCAAACAGTCCCCCTAGAATCAACGTGAAAAGGAGCTAGGGCAACCAAGGGGCAAAGTAGTGTTTTAAGAGGAGCAAAATTGATATTTCAGGAGGGACAAAAAGGTCAATCTGCCCTTCCATATATGTAAAAATCTAAACTTGAGAGGGGAGGGGGCAATTGCCCCTCTGGGCCCTATTAGGGTCCACCTCTGCTATCACCTATCACTTGGTTGAGAATGGCATTACCGTAGTTTGCTAAAGTAAAGGTGTAATGCTTGAACTGTTGTAAAAACATAAAAAATGCATTTATACACATTACTCTTATTCTGTCGTAAGCTTACACATTCATTTTAGGTATCCATGTTTTTAAGTTTTTTTTAATACACATTACCCTTATTCTGTTGTATTCTGTCTTAAGCTCCAACATAAAAAATGCATTTTATTCACTCTGTGTTATAGGAATATTTTCAAGAGTTATTCTAAATATTTTTCGCATTATTCATGTATTATTTAATATGTTATTGATGTATTATTCATGTTTTATTGGTGTGTTATTGAGGGTTTAGGAATATTCCCTCGCAGTATTCATGTGTTTTAATGGGTTATTCTCAAAATCACCTCATTAACACATGAATAACGTGAAAAATATTCAGAATAATGCGAGTGAATAATCCTATAACGCGTTTTTATTTTATTTTCATTTTTTTTATGTAGCTGTGTTGGTCTTTCATGTGTCAACACGAGATTGGACTCCACAAACAGCTCTGTTTGTGGAGTCCAGATGTAATATTTTTTGAGTGTTAGCCAACTTTTTTTTTATTTATAAAATCGTAGCTTTTTCTTTCTTTTTTGTATTCCAAATTGTGTGCTAGCCAAAGTGAGGTAAGGAAAAATTAAGTATTACTTGAAATCAAGTTCCACAAAGTCAATTATGTCTTTTATAATTGTTTTTTGAAAAAAAAAATATTAAATTAATTTTTAATAACATAAGTTTAGAAATATTCTTCGATGGTCGAGTTGGCCATTAGTGATGCACCAACTCATTGAAGCTGGAAAGACCTGCAACATGGTCCAATTACTGGTCCCACGAGAATGGGGGAGATGAGCTGGGTTGATCTGGGATGATGTGGGAATCAAATCCCAACTGAGTTGGTTTGGTGAGCAGCCATGCTTAATTTGACCACCTCGACAATGGGTGAGCTGGGAGTTCATTGGATTGCTTTTAGTACAATTGCATTTAATTCGGATTGAGATTAGGATAAATGATAAATTTAGCTTACTTTAGTATAGTTTTGATTATGTTCTAACATAATTGAAAGTTAGCTTAGGTTGAACTTTTTTTTTTAATCTTGCTTAAGTGCTAAATCTTGATTTTAAATATTAATTAGATTATAATTTAATTTGAATTTTAATTTGATTTGAATTCAACTATTGTGGTTTGAAGCTTTGGTCTAATTAAGGATTTTGTTGAGTTATAGGCTAACTTTTAGTTAGGTTTTTTGTTTTATTTGTGTTTTAACTATATTCAAAATAAAATTTAAGACAATTTAATATTTAAGTTTAATTTAGTTTTAAAATTTGTTTGGTTTTAAATTTAGTTTAGTTATAATTTAGATTTAATTTATCCTAAGTTCTTAGACTTTAAACTAAGTTACAATTTGATTTAATATAAGTTTGGTTTAATCGGCATTAACTTTGATTTTATTAGATTTTATTTATCTCCAATTAAGCTTTGGTTTAGGTGAGTTAAAGTTGAGTTTGATTATAGGTAAGATTGAATTTTAGTTTAGGTTAAGTTTTAATTAATTATTTTTATTTTAGTTGAATTAATTTTAAACTTAACTAAGCTTTATTTCAATTTAAGAAAGAATTTTAGATGTTTATTATGTTAAGCTTAGTTTTAGGTTACATTAATATTAAAGTTAATTTTAATTAATTTATTTTAGTTTAAGTTGAATTAAGTTAAACTTAATTTAGTTCAAGTTTGATTATATTATATTTGAATTTAGATTAATTTACATTTAATTTTGATTTTAATTTAATCTAAACCATTCCTACGAAGCCAAAATGGTGTGAACCAGATCACACCTAAACAAAGTGTAGGCTCCGAAGTTCGAAAGTGAGCCAACCATTGGGCCCTTTAACTATAAAGAGTGAGTTAGGGATCATTGAAGTTCATTTCAGATTGCAATTTTAAAATTGAGCAAACCAAAATAGGATAAGGACCAACAATACCAGAGATAAGGGCAACTAGCAACTTATGGGAAGCCTAACCACTAGGAACAAAACTTAGGTCTATAAATAAATAGTTAGCGGTTATATAGAATGGATTTGGCCAAAATTAAGGTCAACATGAATAGAGGAAAGACATCAGGTTTGTTGTAAGGGGGTGGTTGTGGCTTGAAGCGAGTTGAATGGGACCTATTTAGCTCGGATCAAATGGGTCTATTCTCTTAAAATTTGTTATGAGGGTGTGGGAGATTGGTTGATTGATTTTTATTTTATTGATTTGATAAATATCAAAAAAGAAGAATAGTTGATATTGAAATTGTATTTTTATTGATAATGAAAAAGATTATTAATATGGTGTTTATCTTAGTCTTAGTTAAAAGCTTTAGGCTTTAATGTGGTGGGTATGAATGAAACATTCTGACTAATTTTTTTAATCCACTAAAAAAAAGGGCTTCAACTAAATTAAAGGATCTAGCAGGTGCAATGAGACAAAAGAAAAGAAAAACATTAGTTCTTTCAAATCCTTGATAATGATAAAGAAGGTTATCCCATTGTACAAGGGATTCTAAAGTAAAATGATATGTCCTCTCCTACAGTGGATTAAACAGATCAGATCATTAGAATTCATGAACAATAGTTATGACTCAAGGAAATCATAAAATTTTGATAGCAACAAAGCTCCATTAAATGTGCTTGTCTAACAATTATGATATTTAAGGCTTTATTGTGCTTAATTTTGCCAATTTATCCAAGAGTGCATCCTCTTAGATTTGTTTGTGCCTCTAAGCTCTCTGACCTACCAAAAGCTTTGATCTCTTTTGTTCTCTTATGATCACCAATACAATTGTCATTCTGCTTCATTCAATGCAATCATAGTTATCAAAAAGCTTTACCATCAAAATAAACAGATTGAAATTTGAAAATTAAATCACTATTAAAATACAACATGAACACTTTTAAGGGAGTTTGTAGATTAATTAGTTAAAAATAATTATGTACTAAAAGTTTGACTTAGGCGTAAATTTTGAGTTGAATTTTTTTTCTTCTTTCATATATTTTCTATCCGATATAACTTTTTCTCTATTATAATTTATCGCTTTTATATCTCTCTAATTTATGCTTAGAAAGGTGGAATTGTAAGTTATAAAGCTTATACCATCTACTATTTTTCTCATGGTAAAGAATAAATCTTCCCATTGATTCTCTCAACTGAATACCACTAAGAATTTTAGTTTTGTTTATGCTATTACTCCTCCTTTTTATTATTGCAAATTAATCGAGTACCATTTTGCTAACTTTTCCCGTTTTTAATCACCAATAGCGTACCATTTCTTGATCTTTTGTAAAAGAGTATATATCATTTAAACATTAGCCATCTTGTAATTAGTAGAGTGTTAAAGGAATCGATCAACTAAAGAACAAATAGGCACTACTACAATGAATGTTGTAAGACGGAACATTGGTTGTTGAACTACTAATAATAGAGTTGGTATGCTAAGTACGTACCTTTTAATAAGAATGTTAGAGGAGTTGTAGTATGAAACAATTCTATATAAGTTAAGGAGGCCACTTTGATAGATATGATTCCGACAAGAATGTCGATGAAAAATCATTAAAGATAACTAGATAAACATCATGTTGAAATTCCTTAACAATATGATAGTCAATTGTTAATGATTCTAAAGCGGTGCTCAAAAGTTAGAATTTTGCTCAAAAGTTGAGATTTCAACCAAAAGCTGACAACCAATAACATTAAAATTGTCAAAAAAATGACTAACAAACTCTAAGAAAAGGTTAATTTTGACAAATATATTATATTTTGATATAGTAAAGCAAAAATAGTCATGAAGGGTGTGCTTTGAAAGCTTAAGGAATAAGTTTTTTGGCAGAGTGATAGCTCTGATAAATTTGGCGAAGTAATCTTGATTTTGATTGCAAAATGTGTTAGCTCACATTGAAAATAATCTACAATATGTCAAACAACATCTCTCTCTCTCTCTCTCTCTCTCTCTCTCTCTCTCTCTATATATATATATATAAATATATGATCATTTCCATGAATAAATTAATTGATTTAATTACTCCAAAAAAATGTTCCATTTAATTTGCAAATTTTAAATGGCCATCGCACATAAGCAAGTTACAATGATAAGACCCATATATGACAAATGCATGGAATCACCTATGACCTTTCAACTCTTGTATGTCAATCCACCGAGGTATTGATTAAATTTCACACAAGCCTATTTAAAGTTGGTCTTTTATAGCTTTATTTTTTTTTAATAGTTAGCATAAATTGACAAATCCTTAAAAATAAGTTTTCCAAATTCTAATCCTAGCCAAACAATCTAAATGTAGAAGACTATTATGTGCAAGAAAAAATTACATATTTTATAAGCATGTATGGATAAAGATAAATAATTTGATCATATCATCATAATTTTACTTATATGTAATGTGATCTTCGCATCCACTCTTGTCGGCACATACTTACAAAATATATAATGTTTTCTCCATATATACAAGACTTATGAAGGAGCATAGACATTTTTTTTCAATTATGAGACTCAAATTCAAAGTACATCCTAGCTACTAGTTAATTATTTTTAACCTAATTTTCATGGTTAATCAATTATTTCTAACCTAATTATTATTAAAGCTCAACTTAAAAAAAAGGAGAATTTAAGTACATAACACCATTATCTCACACCCAAAATTCAATTTTTACATTTAAAATATCCTATTTATATAAATAGTGTAATATACTTTTTCATACATCTCTCCATACATATGAAAATGGGTTTAATTTGTAAAAATTAAAGTTTGACATCTCAAGCATCTGAACATGCCCCGGATATGGTGGTTTTGGCCGACGGTCGCGGCGGCGCTAGCCTTCCGGCTTCTCCTACGTTTGTAAAAATTAAAGTTGACATCTCAAGCATCAGAACATGCCCCGGATATGGTGGTTTTGGCCGGCGGTCGCGGCGGCGCTAGCCTTCCGGCTTCTCCTACTTCCTTTTGCGAATGAACTCAACCTCGGATCTCGGCCTGAGGTCGCCACTCCTCTTACCAGTCTTCGTCGTTGTGAGCCTTATCTCTTTTTTCTTAAACCCTATCGTCTGTTCTTTCCTCTGCTGCCAGATCTTTTAGATTAACTGATTTCTTGCGCAGTGGCGGAGGGTTACTGGTTGAAACAATCGTCCTTATCCCCTTATGCAGGTTTGTTTCCTCCTTTTTTCTTGTTTTGGTGTTTTGGAAATCAAGAGTGTGCTATTTGGTGTTCTATGTTTGAATTCCTTTTCAGTTTTTTTTTATTTCTTTATTTTCGGGGGAAGGCTCCTAATTCAGCATTAATATAGATTGTATCGAGCCGGCGGCGTTGCTTTTAATCCAGAAAATTTAATTTTGCAAGCATGGAAGAGAAAATAAGCCTTTAACCACAAACAAATTGGCATTTCTGCTGTAGATTTCTGCATTCCGGAGATTATGAGCCTGTTTTGCAGTCTGTTATTGTAAGTTAAGTGAGGACAAGCTAACTAAACTTTAAGTTCTAAGCTGAGTTGAGCCGTTTAGTTGGTTAAAGAAGACATGTTGATATGATCTACTAAACTAGTGTTATTTGTTTTTTTTCTTTCAATTTTTGTCTTAACTTTAGATTTAAGTCATTTGATAGTGTTGTTTGGAGTTATAAATTAATGAACAATTTGGGCAGCATGTCCCCATTACCATTGTGTGTTACTCTACCGCCAATAGGTTGTAAACGAGCCGATTTTCAGCAAGCCCAAGGTTTATTTGTGTTCGACTCGTTCAATTTTTTAATATTTGTGTTCGGTTTGTGCTCTAAGTAGCTCATGAAAAGCCTATTTGTGTTCAAATCAATGCAAGCTTGTTTGTTCGAATTAAACTCGTGTTCGGCTCGAATTGGAGCTCAATAGCTATAACTCTTATGCTGGCCAATCCACATGGCTAGTTCTCAAAAGAGGGATTTCTTGCATTTAAAGACCTCTAAGGGTGTAAGTAAACTTCTCCCACATATGTGGGGCTAAACAAGTGACCTCAGCTTCTTTATTATTATTATTATTATTATTATTTTTTGACATTTACACGAATGCCAGTTAATTCCCATGTATTTACATATCTAACACCTAAACAAATGTGGGAAATGAGACTATGAGGTGACATGGGCTAACATACTAATGGGGCTCAACTTTGCTTTTTTTTTGAGGCATGTACATGCATACTAGCCAATTTCTATATATTTACATATCTAACACCTAAACTTTACTTTTTTACCGTTATACCATCCAAATCTCTTATATGTATTTTTTTTAAATGCGACATAAAAAATTAATATAAAAAATATAATTAAATATTATTCTTTAATTTAACATTTATTATTTATTTCGAGTTAAAACGAGCCGAACACGAACGAACAAACATTTGTTCGTGTTTGGTTCGTTTATTAATTGAGCTAAGAAAACTTATTCATATTCGACACGTTTGCTTAACGAATGAATCGAGCGCAAGCTACTTAATGAGCCGAACACAAGCTGTTCATGAACAACGAGCTTTTTTGGCAGCCATAACCAAGAATTCGTTATGTGGGGCATAACCCAAGAGGTTAACTTATTGCATACAAGATATTTATACAAATCATGATAATTAAAAATATTAGGAGAATTGGTTGTTCAGTAGTAGATACTTGTTAGATATTACATCAAAATAAGATGATGCATTATACTAAAATTGTTTATTACACTTACATGCTAATAGACTCAAGATAAAACACATAATGCAAAAATTACATTGGTTCCTCATCTAATGAAAAAAAAAAAAAACCTTGGTGCACCTGATGCTGTTCATAATGAAGCTTCTCAATTATTAAAATGACAATTTTGCTGTGCTTCATTGTGCTTCATTTATGGTCGTTCTATACACCTGGCAACTCTTCTTAAAATCTCAAAACAATATGATAAGTTGCCCTAGATGTTTCACTTGCATGCTTGTAACATTCATTCCACATACCATATATGCTTGGAGTTTGGCTGATAAATATCTCGTATTGTCTCATGCTTATTTAAAAATTTAGAATTAAAAAATGAGAGGCAATTTTTGCTAACAAAATAAGAGAATGACATTAAAAATTAAATGTGTTGTAGACATGCTCATCTCATTACAATAACATTTTAAATCCCACTCTATCGAGCGAATCAAAAATAGAAGTGGGTGTTTGTGTGACAATATTAACAATAATATTCAATAAAGAGAAATGAAAAAAAAAACAAATTAAGTATTTTACAATCACTAAACTGTTCAAGCAATGTCTAGTTTATCATGCATCATGTTAAAAGAGATTTTTTATCTGTAAATAAATAACATTAATGGTGTATGATGTGAATTGTATAATCCCACAATTTTTACGAAGTTCCCTTACAATGTTTGATCTAAAGTCCATTTAGCACTCATTTCTGAAGTATATTGATTTAATTTTCAACATGTGACACCTTACCTAAGTCGATGTAATGTCGTAGATATAATCCTCATATTAGTTACTGAAATAGGTACAGAGCTTGACACATGCAAATACTGTCATAGCCTGCACTCTAAAAGGAAATCATTTTATTTGTATTATAATGATAAAACATTCTTTCCATATGCCATACTTTACCTTCACGACATTGTGGATTTATGTGTGATGGTTGTTGAATTTTTCGTGTGCATTGATATGTTGTCCTTGTGTTTTGGTTTGTTACTCATTAAATGGCAGTGATGACCTTTATAAGAAACCACAAAGTAGTTTGTTTTTGCATAACCCAAATAAACTATAAAATATTTTCTTGGAATTAAGTTAATCCCATAGAAACTAATTTTGGACAACGATAAAACATGAGAAACACGATCTTTTTCCTTCATAGTTTGTGTAAACTTCTTTATCAATCAACCACCTATTTACTTGTATGGTTATGAATAATCGTTTCCAGCTTGAACCAATAAAACATCATTTCTACTATTACATTGTAGCTTATGTTTCCCAAACTATTATGATACTCTTCTATTTTTTTATTAATAATTGTGGGTACATAAATGCCATCGATGGCACCAATCTCATTTCTTACATATAAATTTTGGTTTATTATAAACATAGGATGACAAGACCTAATGCTAGCTAGAAGTTGAACATACTAATGCTTAAAATTTACTTAAAACTTGTAGGATATTTTTAAATGGCTTGTTAACATGTTCTAATGAATGTTGGATGGAGTGTTAATAAATATCAATCTAAAGATGGAGTCAAATGTTTTTCTATTAGTTGTCAAATGTTTTGCGACTATAATAGCATGCACAAATGCCTATTAGTGATTCATAATTACAAATTATAAAATATGTCAAATGTTTTGCTAATTGTCGTTTGTCACTTAATTTTGATGCCATTGATCAGTTGTGGGAGGCTTCACAAAAGGCCCTAGGTAACTGATGTAGGATAAGAAATAAACCTACATGCAAAGTAGAATTACTAAAGATGCGATGTGGAAGTATGATGAATACATTGATTATTCCTTAAATTCATAACATTAAATATTAATAAACATATAACTACTATTGAGTTCAAATACAATAACAATAATGTAATGAAGGTTATATGAGCCATGCTATAGTTATAGTAACCAAACTAGATGCCTGGCTTCAATAAAATGAAGAAGAACAATAAGATACATATGGATTTAACCTATAGTGGATTTATGGCAAGTATTTGCGGAACAGGGGTAACTGAAGTCAACCTCTATGAACACTTTATCATATAGCAATCTCTTGCTTTGGAAGTTCTCTACGAGGCATGCACTTTGAGTTACGGTTCCATGCATTGGCTGTTGGAGGAGTAATGGAATAGAGATTTTTAGAGCTCATGATGATTTTCAAAGATTTCAAGATGGTTCCAATGCAAGGCTTAATTATTTCTAAGTCAATTTCATGGCTTGATGATGGTTTTGTTTCTAATACAAGGAGGAGAGGTGTTTTTTTCCTTGTTTTTGTGGGGAGGGAGGGAGGGAGGGGCGAAGGGGCAAGATATGCGTGAATATGATATAAACGTCAAAAGTGAGTTGACAAGTTCAAATGATGTTGTGTAAGTCCTCAGATGATGGTTGTCAAAGAGTGGTTAACGGAGACTAAAATAGGCCAACTAGGCTACACTAAGGTGTGGAATGATCAGGTAGCTTAGTGCTCATGTCCATATAACTAATGCCACATGACATGATTCACTAGACAATACCTATAACAAAAGGCTAATACTCAAGAAATGGCCATACAACATAAATGCCAAAAATACAATGTAAATTAAAAGATCTGACATTATAGTAGACCATTGAAATGAAAATGTAAAAGAAATTAAAAATACAACCAATGTCCTAGGTACATGAGATCCAGTCTATGATACCTTGTGATAGCAGCGAAATGGATAATGGTTGCCAACACCATTACCAAAAAATAGATTCATTTTTCAATAAAGTGCTGTAAAAATTTTTAAGGCATCTTTATAGTGTTGAAATAAAATAAGAATAGTGCAAACTAGTAACTACAAGGAGGAAGGTGGCCAGAAGAAGATTGGTTCACTGCTATGCTCCAAATCATAGTTAGATTTCGATCGAGGGCAACTCCTAGTATCATTGCAATGAAGAGGGAATCACAAGGGACGAGAAAAGATGAGAGCATAGAGAGGGAATACAGAAGATTGCAAGGGAAGGGAGAAGATGATATCACATTGATGAAATGCAAACGCGATAAGCGGATTCCTCACTACACTTACTTCAGGCTGGATTGCACCTAGGCAAAGAAATGCCCTGGTCAAAAGATTGTTGAAAAATGAAAATTGGTAGCAAATTGAGCTTAAGCTAATTTGAGTCTATAAATAAACTGCTGCCGTACAACCCCGATCAGGTTGTGAGAAGTGTATTTAACTTCAAACATCAGTACAACCTTATTAGATACTATAAAAATCCATCAATGATCTGTATCTCCATTTGTGGGTTCCCTTACAAATTCCAATTTGTATATTTATTGGTCATCAAATCCAAGGTAAATGAGTGGAAGAAAAAGGGAAAGGGAGGTTGTGTTAGGAATACATGCTCTGCTTGGCTTATGTGATTCTGTATGAGTATATGCTGTATGAGTATATTATACAGCTGTTTGAGATACCTTAATGAAGTTCCTTGATAAAAATG